AATTTCAGTATGGAACTGTTATTAGCCAAAAGCAAATTCAGCTTGCTTCAGAATACAAATGTGTGCTTTGATGTGAGTTTGCACGCGCGCGCAAATCCATGGCAGAATCAAGCGCATCACAACACAAGGCAACCATTAGAATCGATATTCTTCTGTCTTGGTTCAAAGTCACATGTATTACCAGTTTTTTTTTTGTTTGAATCGGAGGTTTCCCCCATTTCCATTACCATCATAATCAAAAATACAAGAGTAAATATTGCGTTCAAAAAAATACAAGAGTAACAGGGCATAAAAATCTCACGTTTAAGAGGACATATCCTAAACATTTCAGCAGATGCTGATTTGACAGAAGTATCCAATTTGTTTCCGCAAGAGTTTACAGCCTTAATTTAAACGATGATGAGTATCCATGGAGGCGAACAGTTACACATGTATGGCAACAGAAGCCATCAGAAATATAACAGTGACAAGATTTATTGACGCCATATAGCCTGACTGTATATGCAACTTTGGATCATGGTGTTTTCATAGCCTAGGAAGTGGATGCTGCGGCCTCCTCCAGCAGCTGCTTTACCTTGGTGATGTAATCGGTCATTGCTTCATCCTTGGATTTCCCTGTTCAGACAACAATTGCAAGGATACATAATGGTCAATTGGGAGTTTGGTCAGTGAGAGATTGCACATTTGGAACGGGTCTGAACAAACCTTCAACAGCCTTCCAAGCATCCCATTTGGCTCTCTCTTTCAGGCTGAAAATGCCAGGACGCCCTAAGAGACAATGTTCAGTATGGAACTGTTATTAGCCAAAAAGCAAATTCAGCTTGCTACGGAAAGGTTTGGAAACAGATGTGTGCTTTGATGTGAGTTTGCACGCGTGCGCAAATCCATGGCAGAATCAAGCGCATCACAACACAAGGCAACCATTAGAATCGATATTCTTCTGTCTTGGTTCAAAGTCACATGTATTGCCAGCTTTTTTTTGTTTTTGTTTGAATCGGAGGTTTCCCCCATTTCCATTACCATCATAACGGAAATACAACGACCATGTAGAGTAACAAGAGTTACCAGAGTAAGAAAAGACATCTAAGAGACTGATCATTAAGCTTACCACTGCACGCTTAATCCCAAACTGCCTGTCAACTAACAGCAACATACGACTTAAGGCTGGACAGCAACCAGCATAGCCTAAGTACCAAAGCTAGAAAGACCTTATTACAGAAGTTTAAAAAGGTAACAACGAAAGAGAATAAGCCTCCAGGCATTCATCAACATGTGACTTTAAATTAAAGCTTAGGCAGGACAATCTTGCGAGCAGACGAAATTTAAACTAAAGCTTGTAAACATCCGAACAGTAAGAGATTCGATCGACAAGATAGATGAAAACGCAAACGTACCAGTGTTGACATCGCCGACGGTTGCCTGCTTGTAGAGCCCGTAGAGGATGAGCTTGTTCTCGTTCGTCGTCGTGTCAGGCAAGGTCTTGGCCTTCTCGGCGTGCTCCTCAAACTCTTCCTGCAAACGAAAGAAACACAGAGAAGGTTAACCAAGCAATCTATTTCATCACCATGTATGGCCTTTCCAGCAGTTACGGCACTATGCTAGTCTGCTAGATTGCATAAGGTGGAGCGAAACCGATCCACCAAGCTTCCGCCAATCCACAGATAGCTTTGCAGGTGGTAACAGTACTGTGCTACGTGCTTCAGCACACAATGGCGAGAAAAAAAGAAAAAAAAACACGGTAAGGTACAGTGCTAGTTTGCAACAATTTCAGAGCTACGAAGTGTTGCTAACTCGCACGCCATGCATAAACGATAGTCACAACAATTTAGTTAGTAGGTAAAAAAATAGGTTAGGTTGGGTCCGTATATAATTAACTATAGTTAACGAAGGCAGCAAGGCACTGCTGTCTCATTGGCTCTGAAAACCTGAACCACAGAATCCGTCAGGGACGACGCTAGCGGTCCACCTAATCCACCAGACTCTGAAGTCTGAACATGTTGCCACCAAGAAACAGCTGAACCGGCCGGCAAGATCACAACCACACAGCAGCTGACAGCACAAGCATACATACAACTACTTCACCAGCGAAGCGAAGCCGGCGGTCCCAAATCGACCTCTGAAGTCTGAACGCTGCAGGTTCTGTGTCACAACCCAAACGCATCTCTTCTTCGAATCGAAGATGCAAATACAATACAGACTTAGTACAGAGCGGCGAGGATCCGTACCTGCAGACCCATGGAGACGAGACGGCGGCGCTGCTCTTGGGCTGTCTCGGCTTGTTCTTGGCGGTCGATTGCGTCGAGGGAACGGGGCGGGGAGGCCTAAGCTCGACGCGCTCTTGTTTATTTATATCTACTGGCAACAAAGGGAAAGCAGGAAGAGGAAGGAAGGGGGTTTTGCTGAACAGGGCCTCCCACTTGGACTTATTTACAAACTGGAATCTTTTTGCGCTTTGTTTCTCATTGGATTTTATCACGAGCCTGAACTTGCAGTCCGAGTGGTCAAGTCCAGAGCTTTCCTTTTTTATAAAATACATACAAGACGTTTGTTTATTTATATACATATTATAGGTGCATACATATGGTCATATCTCTATAATAAAATAAACAATTAAGCCATGGAAAGAAGTAGCTCAGCATCTTTGAAAAATCAAATCTAACGACGTATATACCGTCTAGCTTTCTTTCTCCTTCCCAAATTGAAGCGCTGCGCGAGGGTCCGGAGTCAACCATGGCGCGCTTCCAGTTGCTCCTATGATACAGAGCACGGTGTCATACAAGCAGCTGCCGCCGGGCGTATCCACTACGTTGGGGAGATGGCATTGTCGTCGTTGCCGAGCGTGGTCCGTGCGAGGGCGAGGCAGCAGTCAGGCCGGGTGTGGCCACTGCACTGGGAAGAGCAGTCACCCTCCGCCGCCGCCGGGTGTGGCCACTGCACTGGGAAGATGGCGCTATCTGTTGCCGAGCGCGCGCGGCCTGCGACGCATCCGGCGCCGTTGCCGAGCATGGCCCCTGCGCTGAGGGAGATGGCGTTGTCGCCAACCAGAGTGGCGCGCGCAGAGGTTATCATTGCCCATACATTGCTTCACCGGCGAATAGACTGCCGGATGCAGGGGCGTGCGCCTTTGGGAAGAGCTCGGCATCGTGGTCGCGGGCCGTCGGCGCATGAAGCGTCGGAGTGATGGATCGAGAGCTTCAAATTATATTGGAACCGAAGTAGAGAATGCTATTTTTAGAGGTATTTTATGTAACGCCGTCGCTTTGAGGGCTATGAAATCAATTTTCCCATAAAATCATTCAGCAAAAAAAATCAAATACTCAACAGCTGGCGCTCCACATCCTGGTATATATACATTCTTTAGGAGATCTTCTGTAATCCCTACTCACGTTATCGGATTAATTTCATCGGCGGCCACAACTTGTGACATAAATCCAAGAAAAACTCCTTCAAAAGATTTAAGAAAATACACGCATTTATATTAGTCAAGAACTTAAATTCACGTGAAGAAAAAAATTCCACCGTCAGAAACCAGGTGAGCTGAGTGTTCCAAGGCTTGAATTGGAGAGGTCGTCCCGAACGATGCCGCAAAAGAGCATTAGTTTTTTTTTTTTTTGAGGAGAGAAAAAGAGCATTAGTTGAGGGTCCTGTTTGTGGAATGTACGTTCATTAGCTTGGTCCAGAACTCCGGATATTCCGAGCATGTCCGAGTACAACCAGACAACCATTTGCGGGCCGTTTGATTCATGGGCCGAACCGTCTGAGTCTTAAAAGCCCACTAGGTAAACAGGCGGGCTTTGGGGTCCGCGTTCCTCTCTACCAGAATCAGCATTTTCTTAGTCAGCTGGGCGTGCGCTTAGGCTGCCCACCCGGGTTCGAGTGATGATACTCGCCCGGTTCCTCATCAAGGGATTTATTCGCGGTTAATAATTCAAGTTGGCTCGCACGGATGCCTTAGATATAAGTTGTAGGTCTAGCTTACGCACTAGAGGTGCGAGTGTGTCAGTGTGTGTGTGTGGTGTGCGTTGGTGTTGGTGCGTGAGTTCAGATAGTATAACTTGTACTCAAAGGTTGAGGCAATTAAAAAAGAATCAGCATTTTCTGCTAAAAAAAACCAAAATCAGCATTTTCTTTTCTGTGAAGAAGAAATCATAATCAGCAACTAACCCAACAATGTGAAGCTATAGCGTGTTCGAGTTAGACTACAGATATGTCTGATTATCCAAATGCCCACTTGAGCAATATAGTTATAGCAAAAGGTAGTGAGCGTGGCTGCAAAACTGATCATGGCATCATGCAAAGGTGGTTCTGAGATTATCCATGGCCTCACATTTTGTTCATGACGCCGTGGCTTAACGACAAGCTTGTTTGATTTGCACTCAGTAAAGTAAATGAAGTAGAGTGATTCTATTTATGTGTATTATCACTGGACAAGATCAGCAAGCACAGAGAGAGACTCCCACAGAACAACATAGTCCATATATAAATGAAGTGAAACCAAAACAGAGCTGGCGCAAGTTCCTTAACAACTGGGTACATTCTCACAGGTCACTGATCATCACTAGAAGTCTGGAAGGGGCCTCTCCAAAACGAACAAGACTGATGAGCGACAACATATATTTATCCATATAATTCTTGCACCCTGCAGCCTTGGTTCGTCAACCAATGGTTCAAAAGTCACAAGTATGTCTTCCACTGTCACTCACATCCAACAAGGAATAGAGAGCAAAACGAATTCTGGAAGTCTGCCGAGTTTCTGTCTATTCTACATTTCTACCTCTACCCTAATCCTACTTACCAAAACTTATCCCAACCCCCCTCAAAGTGCTGAGGGTGTACGCAGCCTCAACAGACAAATATGCTCATGCAAGCTCTCAGGACTGTCATCAGGAAAAGGTTGATCGCCTTTTTTTCTGGTGTTTGCGATGCGGGTCCATCCCCCTTCGTGGCACCATTCAGCTAAACAAGGGTGGCCTGATGCACCTCATTCACCAGCTGCGTTGTCATGCCTCCACAGGGCTGCTCCTGGCGACTTCTTGGTCTCCTTGCCTCCCTGTCGGTCTGCCTTGCCGAGTGCGAGGCCTAGCTCTACTCTGCCCATTGGCCTGAGCTAAATGCTGCTTCCTTAGAATTCTTCTGCGGAGATGCTCATCTCTTTCTACTGCCCGCGCAATGGTTTTTGTGAGCCTCGACTCGACTACTTCCCACGACACCAGCTTCTCTAGAATCGCAGAAACATAATCAGCCCTTCGATCCTGTAAGAATGAAATGGAAGCTAAACACATCAGAGAAAATGTGCTATTTAATTGCTGGCAAACTTCAAGCAACATTTTCCATCTAACCTCGTAATCCAGGTAGTACGCATGCTGTTCCCAGAGGTGAAGAGAATTGTTAGTAAAGACATATTTTTAGGAAACAAAAGGAAAGGAAAAATACATTTGCGAAAACTGTACCTCCCAAACATCAATCGCAAGGAGTGGCTGCCAAAGAAATAGATTCATGAGACTCTTGTAGATAAATGAACTCATGATGATATAATAAGGGGGGATATTGTGGAGTTGATACTCAGAGTGGCCCCAGACAAGAGGGTTGATGGCATTTGGAGTCTTCGAGATGACCAGCCTACCATAATTGTCAGATGGGATTGGGCTTCTTGATTTCACATAAGGCAAACCGCTTCCTTCGTCTACAAGCAGTTAGAGAAAAGATTTTTGTTCATCTGACCAACATGTGCAAGTTACAAAGTAGAACTGTGAAGGCAAGAGGCATGGTCGTCAGCATCACTTACAGGAAAGCCAAACCCATCCAGAACCAAACTGAGTTAATGCAGCATCCATGAACTGTCGGATCATGCCCTCATAGGAGCCAAAGTCTCTATTAATAAACTTCAGAAGCCGTTCCAGTGGCTTGCCCCCACCACCAGGTTTCATGGATCGCCAATAGAAATCATGGTTCCATACCTATGGCCAAGAATTAGCCACTTGAAGCATACGCAATTAAGCACAGATGCATTGAACGCAATGGCCAATCGTACCTGTGCAGCATGGAAGAAGGGAGGATGGGGCTCCTCTCTGCCCTCATTGAAGGACGCGAGCATCATCTGCCCCAGCGACATGCCTTCCCACTCGCTACCACCCATCATGCCACTGCTGATGAACTCCCCAGTGCTGCTCCACCGTCTCCTTGCTTATGTATGGCTCCAGAGCAACCTACATTACCATCCTGGGTATCTGTCATTCCATTCACTACTAATCTTAGCAGATCGACACTGAGTACGTACCAAAGCATAAGGAAGTGGCTGCTGCTTTATCCACTCAACATCCTCAGGCAGCGAAGACTCCCCAGTCCTTCGGCATCAGCATCAGCATCAATAACGTCATCAGCTGCAGCTTCAAGGTCTGCTTCATCGTCAGTAGCATCACCATCGACACTGTCATCCTCGGTCACGACATCCACCTCATTGGCACAACGAAATATTGGGCAATTCCGTGTCCTCTTCTTCTCTCCCTGACCAAAAGCATTCACTCTATCGAATTAAATCAACCATGCAATCAGGTCACGGAGGCGGCCCTGACCCAAAAATGATACAATTGACATGAAAAAAGTGCTTCAGCGTTCAGGCACTTATTCCTACAGTGAAAGATGGCAGTAGTCTTCTGAGATACGGGGGGAAAAAAAGGTGTAGATAACCCTACTGCTTTGTATTGGAGACGAACTCAAAAACAGTTCAAAACATGAACTGTTGTAGCACTAGAAAGTAAGTAGAAAATATACTAACAACAAAACTAAAGTAAATGTTGTTGCAGAGAACACAGGAACTGCTTCCCAGTTCCCAGTACCAACCGGTCCAGTCACCAACCAAACGATACAGCTCATATTAGCACACATATAACCAAGCACAGGACTACCTCCCAATTCCAGCTACCAGCTAATGAATGGCAAGGGGAAGAGGGACGGAGGAAACACTCACCTCGGCGCCTCCTCTCCGCAGGAGGACGAGGCGGCGGCCAAGCCGTGGGGAGTCGCCGGCTGCGCGCAGGGAGCAGGATGTGACGCTGGAGGACCCACTGCCAGCAGCGCGGTGGACGCCATGGACGCGCTCCGCTTGGGGACGACGGACGGGGAAGCCTTCCGAGCGAGGCAAGACGAGATGTGGCGGACGGAGGGGATAAGCGCGGCCGCTCAGGGGATTGCCTTGTGGGCTCAAACGGACCCGGTATTTGGGCCTCACTTTAGTTTCTCCGCCCATCCGTGACCCATATTTCCTCCAGCCCATGTGAATGCTGTAAGGCGTAGCATGTTTCTACGTGGGCCGATTGCAAGGCCCAGAAGTGGAGCCGTCGCGTGAAGGCGTAGTTGCCAAACTGCGCTTTCTTCCATAAACTGAAAGACTGAACCTGAACAACTCTTGAAGCATGCGTGAAGACAGCAAAAACCTGCACTGCACTACGAATACATTGTAAACACAATCCATCAAGTTACATGTTAGATTCTATCTGTGCGTAACAAAGTGAGGCAACAGCATATATAAGTTAATAGCGTTCCATGCATTGGCTACCTTTTTTTGGAACGAGACAATTGGCTACTAAATTTCATCAGCTTTGTTGCTGCTCCAGAAGGAATGCTAGCACCAATTTCACTTGTGATGTGTTGTCTTTGTCCTTTAGCTTTCTCAAAAACAATGAAGACCAGAGGCGGAGCCACCACTAGGGCGAGCTAGGGCGGCCGCCCTAGGTCCCTGTGGCCGATCGAGCATCCCTTCCCCACCCCCAGAGCTGGCGTCTGGAGAGGACACGACGCGCGAGGCCGAGCAGCCGAGGAGCCGAGGTTGAAGACGATGGCGCCGTTGCTTCTGTTCGGGTGGAGATGGGGATTGGGGCATCATGGGCCTGGCACCCTGGCCGCCTGAGACTGGACGCAGCCCAACAGACACCCAGCGAGTCCTAGCCCAGGCCAGGCGGCCTTAGGTCAGGCAGCACCGCTCCGCTCGCCCGCTCCAGACTGCACGGTTCCGGCTCCTGCGACGCGAACACGAAGAAGACCACCGCGCCGCCGCGGCTTCCAGGCTCGCGTTCGCCCAGTTGCCCTCGCCATCCTGGATCCCGTCTGGCCACCTCCGGTGACCTTGGCTCCCCCTCCTCCCCACGACACCCAGTAGCCCGTCCCCGCCGCCTCGGAGCCACGCCGCTCAGAGCTCCCGCCGGCCACCGGCTGCCCGCTTCCCACGGCCCGCAGCCAGCCGCCTCGGCCCGCGCCAGTTACCAGCCGGCCAGCCTGCCGGTCCGGTCCCAGGATTTTAAAGGCCCTACGACGGTTTCGTCGTAACGACCTTGATGATATATAAAATCTTATAATATATAGATGCTAATTTTACTTATAAAACAAAAGCAAATTCAATAATATATTTTTAATTTAACATGTCCCATATTTATCCAGGAACAATGTAGATTAAGTAATATATTTGTAGATGTATGATAATTATAGAGAAACAATGTAGATTAAAAAAACAATATATTCGTTTTCTTTTCTCACCCATGACAAATGTTTTTTAGGTAACATTCTAAAATTCTAACACCTAATTAGAAAAAAAATATGACTATATGGGTACAAAATACTAGAAGTCTATAATACTATATAAATAATTATTTTGGATTAAAAATAAAAAAAATACCTTGGGTCTAAACAACTGATCGGTGATCGCAATTCATAAGAAGCCAAGAATCAAGATGTTGTCATCATGGAGCCCTACCTGGTCGCCGTCCTCGTGCGCCGTGTTCGTGTCTCCGGTAGTCTAGCTCTTCGTGGCGGCGCGACTCGCCAGCTCCGCGTGTGTAAGGTGCACGTCGCGAACTCACGATCAGAGTGTGCTGTGTGCATCATGACTCCTCGCCTCTCTCTCTACCCGAGGACCGTAGAAAAAGAAAACTAGGAAAGAAATATCGATGTTGTCTTTTTAGGCCCTTCTGACCAGTTCTACGTCCTCTTCTTATTAGTTTGCTAATACCTAATGGACTATAGGACCTAGGGGTTTGTATACCTGGGCTTAGACCCCTCCTCCGCTTGGGCCCTCGGCCGTCGCACCTCGTGCCCTACACCTAGGGCCGGCACTGGCCCCTAGCTCCAGGCCTCCAGCTGACTGCTGACCAGCTGCTTCCCTGTGCTGTGTGCTGTGTGCTCAGACCTCAGAGTGTCCAGCTCTGCAGGATTTTTTTATTTTGGTGATGGATGGAGGAGCAAATGAAGCCGTTGTGGGTGGGAGACAACTTCAATTCCAGTAATAAGCAAGAAGTGCTATAAGATACTTGGTATTGCCAAATGTGTGGTTGATTTGATTTAATTACTTACATTAAATTAGTCATAGAGTTTGATTACTGATTGTCTGATTCAATTTATTAATTATGCAGATTTGAAAAGCTTCTCATACTGTTTTCTCCATTAAAACATGTATTATTGATAATTCCGCTATTAAAAGATAACATCTTGATTCTTATTGGTTTTCTACCACTTTTGCTCTTAAAATGCATGTTGTCATTGGTTAGCCGAAATTTTATAGTATCAGTTCGCCTTGGTCATTTCTTGAGCTGGATTCGCCACTGATGAAGACAACATTTATGTATTAAGTTCAAAACAAGCAAAAGAAAGGAAAATCACTCTAAAACTTCAGTTCATTAAGTGGTTACTATTGTCTACTTATACACATCTACAAATAATATAAAACCATCTATTTTGTTGATTCAAAAGAAATCACTGGAATCAAGTTTCATTCTGCTTTATTCTCTCTATCTTTTAGCTTTCCCAGGAGGAGGACGACTGAACCCAACATTTGTGCGTGTTCAGAAGAGGAACAAGAACCGAAAAGAGCTGTGGAAGTTCAATTTCCTTTATTTTTGCAGAATTCATTAAACGTGGTCTTAAGCAATACTACCTCACTCCCTAAAAGAATGCAACTATATATGAGTTGCGTGCCACACCTGCGGCTGATAAGCCAGCTGATGCTGTTTTGTTGTGAGAGAAAAATATTATATCATAGTTTATAAGCCGAGCTGATAAGTTGAAGCAAACAGGGCAATATTAATAATTGTTTATCTATAATCGGTCAAACTTAAGGTACTAAAACGTGACATTATGCTAGAATTGTATTCTTTCTGGGACGGAGAGAGTAATATGTATGAAGTAAACCGCACCAAGAAAAATGCAGGCACTGGCCAAACTTGTTAGCAAGCAAATGCCGAAAAAATAACATATAGTGGCCATTAGCCAGGTCTGTCAGCAAGAAAAATTTAAATAGGACAATAGTGTTCCATACTAAAGTTGGCTATAACATAAATTCCATTTACATTGTTGTTTAAAAAAAAAAGTGCTAGCATTAAACTTCACTTGTGCAGTTATAATTTCATTACTTTTTCAAATAAAGTTGGACGAAGACAAAATTTATCTAAAGAGATTGATGAGATCTAGAACTTTGTAGTTAATGATTTCAAATTTTGAGAGCATTTAGGAGCCCAGATATATAAATTTGGTCCATTTGGATGGTTAATCTTGAATGGGTTTGTTCAATCCGGAAATAAACCGTGGTATAGGTTGGCCCCAGATGGCTATGCAGGATGCACCGCTGCATACACGGTCTGGTCCCGGGAACAGAATGCTCACGATACGAGTTCTTATAGATGGCCATGTAGACAGGGGCCTGATAGCCTGGCCTTTTTTTTTTCTTGATCTGACAATTTGTCCGAATTTCATTAAGAGGAAGATTTGGAAGTTCAAACACACAAACAAACCTGGAATGCGCGCGCGGGCGAGGGGCCAGCACACAACCACCAGGGGAGGCCCTAAACTACCAGGCTTACAAAGTGCGATTACATAACAAACTGTTGTCGCGACCAGAGAGGGCAAAGAGCCGCTAACGAGGTGAACCCGGCCTGAGTCCATTCCTCAGCTTCATCAAACGCTGCCTTGTAGATGATGTCCACACGTGAAGCTACTCCATTGAACGTACGCCCGTTTCTTTCCTTCAACAGCGTCCAGGAGATGAGCAGCAACAGGCTGTCAAAAGTTGGTCGCGCATCGTGGTGCAGCAACGCCCTTTGTTGCAACCACCAATCACCTAGGTCGACAGGCTGTTCGGGTACAAAGGAGACCAGGGCAATGGGTTCCAGCAGCATGAACCATAGCTGCCGAGCAATAACACATCCAAGCTCTACGTTCTTCTCGGCTTTGCACGGCAAGCGCACCCAGCACCGTTCTGGCTGACTGCGCCGCAACCATTCGCCGCGCAATCGAAGGGCGAAGCCAAAGTAACGGAGGTCCATGACGCCGAGGCCACCCAAACAAGTCGGCCTGCACACCACTGTCCAAGCGACCTTGCATTTGCCGCCCGACACCGACTCGGTCCCTGCCCAGAGGAATGCACGACGTCTCTTGTTAATCTGGTTCACCGCCCACGCCGACAGGCAGCAGGCGATACTAATGTGTACCAGGATCGCGGACAGTGTGACCTTGGTGAGCAGAACGCAGCCAGCATGGGTCAGGAGACCCGACTTCCACGTAGGAATCCTGGCCGCGATCGAGTCCACAAGTGGATGTTCTTCTGCTCTTCTTAGGCGCGTGATGGATAGAGGAATGCCCAGATACTTGCACGGGAATGGGCTAACCACGCAGGGGAAGATCAGCTGAACGGTGGCCACCATCTCGTCCGAGCAGCGTATCGGAGTGGCGACGGGCAAGAGTGGCTGATACAGACGGCAAGTGGGGAACCTCCTCTGACCTCCCGGTTCTCTCACTGGGAGTCCTTTAATCCCGACAGACGACAAAGAGTCACGCGAGTAACACCAACCGGACTAAAAGAACCTCCGGACTTTAAATAAAATGTCTCCCACCGCGCGCGCACGTGAGATTCAACCCAAGACCTCATGTATTGCTTCTCACATAACTAACTTCCAACCTACACAACACATCTAACAATGGATGGGATGCTTCCCTTTTGACCTCATGGATGGCCGAGCGCAGTAGCCGTTTGGTAGGGACCTTTAGTCCCGGTTGGAGACACCAACCGGGACTAAATGTCTCTCTAGTCCCGGGCGTAAAAAAATGCCGGGACTAGAGCCCATTTTAGCTCCGGATTAAAGGTTTGTTCTCTACTAGTAGTACATCGACCTTTGTCTCAACAAGACAGATGACAGACACGCGTTCTTGCTGCAAGAACCCACATCCCGACGGACGCACGAATTGAGTCCGCGCACATTCCAAATGAAAATTTGTTGACCTAACATTATTAAACTAGCTGAAGGATGACGTAGGGATGATGCATCTAGGCGGCGCGAACTGGGCGGCGAGCCTGCTGCTTCCTGCTCGGAAAGAGCACCTCCATGGCTTCCCTAGTTGTAGATGACAACGGGAGCTTGAACGCCGTCTGGAACTCATCAAAGGAGGCCTCGTCAGGTAACTGCGTCTCCACCTCGGCGCTCTGCTCTTGCTTTTTGTGGCGAGGCGAACGCTTCTCTTCGAGACCAGTTCCTGGTCATTGCGCAGCAAGCGGCCCACGCCTTCTCCGCCCGTGTCACATGAGCACGCGGCGGCGTGGAGAGAAGAGGCTGCGGCAGGGACTTCTTGAAGATATTGGTGAATTCATCGGCAGCCAGCACTTGCGGTTCTAGGGTTCATGCCATGCTTCCCTCGGCGACAACAGGTGAAGCCGCCTGTTCACCGTCCGGCACAACACCGAGGTGGGCTGGTGGTGACGTGCCGCCTTGCAAAGGCGAGCTGCATCCCGAGGTGTATTCCTCCGGCCCAGAGAGGCAAAGACCCACCTCTTGGGCCAGCCCATAGGAGAAGACAACAACATCCTCCAAATGTATAGGAGCACCAAACATGAAGTCCGTCCCATCATCCGGCCCATGAGCAACCAAGGCAACACGGCCCGAGAGTAACTCCAATTGCGAATCTAGGGCGGGCCCCACGAATCTGCGATGACGGGAGCGCGATGAGCGCGCAGCGCGTGGACAGAGGTTGACGGAGTGGGCGTCCGCGGCGCGGTCGTGTCCGCTGACAACTTTCTGCGACGTGTACATGTTTACACCAAATTTTGGGAAGAAGAACGCAGAAACTTGAAGCTTTCAGGATTGTGTCATCAAGAAATCGATTACATAAGGATAGATATCAGCTGATTCAGATGGGGCACTGGAATCGGCTCTCTTCGAATGACGTCAGCAGATAACGACAATGAGCTACGGTTGGTGTCGGGAAATACATGTCGGACTCTAAAAAAGGAAAAGATTAGGGTCCAAGTTATCTCAAGTTATGAATGTTTTCTTTTATAAAGATTGTAATGAGTCGTACTTGAGTAGGATTCATGCTTAGGTTCCGGTATAAATATTGGACCCCGGCTATTGTAAAAGGATCATCCAATCAATCAATATAAATTACTTTTTTTGGCTTCACGCTAACCCTTAGGAGTAGTAGTGTAGATCTCGGCGAGTTCTTCAACAAGTAGGGCTGCATTGGTCCGGCCGACCTCCGGCTTGTCTGTAAGTACCGTCATGACTTATACTTCTGTTCGTAAGGCTGCATCGGTTAAGTTCAACCTCCACTGCGAGCTCTAGTATAAGCTAGTTATCGATTCTTATCTAGTTCAAGTACGGCTGCATCGGTTAAGTTCGACCTCCACTGCTCGAATTAGATTAAGGTCAAGTTATTGGCTCTACCTAAGGGTGGCATCCTTCGAGTAGATTCATTAAGTTACCGATCTTGCTGATGTTCTTATTGTCGCTAGTTTCCAACAACATCAACCTGCCCGATCGAGACCAAACTAGATCGGCCTCACATCCTTTTAATCCATCGTTTATCTTGTTACATTGCAACGGTTCTTACTTTAAACGACGGATTACGTTTCATCGGCTGTTCTACTTTGATCTTGGTCGTGCATAGTACACAGTCAAGGCATGTCTGATCTTGAGGAGGTTTACTGGCTAGTTGAATCTGGTCTATAGCTCGCTATTATGTCTGTAACAATCCGGTCGATCTCCACTGATGACACTTTAGATCGAAGTATGCTAGCTTGTAGGTTTGCTTTCGACCAGGCGTGACCTTGACTGTTTGCTATGCCCGCATCGGCTAAATAGCCGATCGCCTGCGCTTTAATGCCTATAGCGTGTCTCTCATGATTCTATTAAACGTGAATAGATCTGTTTACTTTAAGGGGTTGATTTGTTATCTTTATCACGGATGCCATCGATCCGGTCGAACCCCACTATTAAAGATAACAGGTTATGTCTGATGAGTTCGTAGATCTGTCCATGTTAAATAGTCGATTGTTCATATGTTGTAGTCCCTTTTCTATCTAAATCGGCTATTTTAGCCGATTTCGCTTGTGTTTTCACGTATATAGCATGTCTTTCAGAAAACCTATCAATGTATAGACGATTTTATGGATTTTTTGATTTTAGTTTGTTATTATCATCATAGCTGTCATCGATCCGATCGAACCTCACTATTGATAGTAACAAATTAGATTCAAAGCGTTTGTAGATCCACTTGTACTAGACAATCGATTTGTTCGCATGCTATATCCTTTCTCGTTAGATTCGTCGACTCAATGCTTTACACTTGTAATATCCACCTAGCTGATGATTTTATTTCCGTCTGCATGCATCGTACTTGTCATTATAAAATCAATCACAACCCACGAGCTTTACCATCTTGAATAGCCGATTTCTTCGCGTATCGGCTGTTTAGTCGATTCCTCTATCTGACTGCTCCTGAAGCGGCATGCTTGGAACTGTCTCGAAAAAACCGGCATGTTCCACCATAAATTACTAATAAACTTTCTCTACTTGTCAATTGCAGGTCAAATTGACTGGCACGCCCTCGGAAGGAATACGCAGGATCGGCTAGCCCTGCGTTGAAGCCAAGCGGATCTCCAGCCTTGCTCCATCAAGCAGATTCTTTCGGCTTGCTGTGTGCCAGGCGCATTGACATATTTTTGCGCTGACAGTACAGGAGAGCCTCGGCGAGCATTGGGTCTTCGACTAGCGACCTGACAGGAGAGGGTGAGCAACGGGTCGAGAGAGAGGAGTCAACTTCCTCCATGCCCGCGTCGACATGCATCGTCAGCGTGGTGGGTTCCGCGCTGACACCTCCACCAGCATGCATGGCACCGTGCGGCGCCTGGAAATGGCAAGTCACATCGCCAACGATGATAGCTTGCCTCGACTGACGCGCCCAAAAAGCTAGACTCGACCCAGGCCCAAGCTGCGGCCCATCGGCGCCGCCGAACCTGGTAGTATGTGGCCGCGCCCCACCACCGTCGGGACTGATGCTAGGGTGGTAGCCATTAAAATTACCGTCGCCGCTGTCATCCCTGTTGTCGCCGCCCATCCACTCATCGGACAATGTCGGCTGTGTACGCTAGTCCTGGAACTCGACAAGTCACAGACGAACAAGGTATCTGAGATCTAGGGCCTCATCAGGAATGATCTCGTGAGGCCTGAGGTACAGCGGTGAGCCTCTGTCGTGCTCCTCCTCTGGCTCTAGCAGCGCCATGATTATCTCATCCAGGACAAGGTCGGGATGAGCACACCATGCCGCCACAAAGAGCTCGCGCTCGTCATCTGGATCATTTAGCGCATTGGGGTTGGCGAGCTCCACCTTGGCACTAGAGGAGCCTAGGATGGCCTGCGCTATCTCCGTTGATCTTGCATGGGAGGGGATGCCCTTCATCCCCATGAGGACACGGTAGTGGAAAGCACCCGCGGAGCCCATGATGAGGTGGCTCCACCTTCGCCATCGTAGCGCGAAGGGAGCACCCGTCGGCGATGGTGTGCACAGCACCAACTCTAAGTCTTCATGGTTGCTTAACTGAATGATAAAGTCATCCGGTCTAGTCCGGTGCACCAAGACACGATCATCACCGATGTCGAAGTAGTCGCGGAGGTGGTCGAGCACCATAGCTAGAGAGACCACCGGCCGAGTGCCCACAACGAGGGCCAATAGAGCAAGCGATAGGTGTAGGGTCGAGATAGCGGACTAGAGGGGGGTGAATAGTCCTTTCTAAAACTTAATCGCGCCGGCTAACCAAAACAAGTGTGGAATTAAAACTAACGGTCTAGCCAAGACTACACCCCTCTATATATGTTCTCTAGCATCTTGCAAAAATCCTAATTAAGCAACTAAGGTGTCAAGCTAGCTAGAGCTCACCTATCCAATTCTAGGAGTAAGGTCACACAAACCTATGCCACTAGTATTTTGCACACCGGAGAGCTCCTACACAATTCTAGTAAGTAAAAGCACAAAGCTCCTAAGCTCCCTAGCAATGCTCAATAACAAGGCAACCAATGCCAAATTAGAGAGCGCAAATACTTAGCTACATAAACTAAGCAATATGACTAACAAAGTTACTCAAACCAAATTAGCCACGCAAGGGAGCTACTTCTATGCTACACAAGTAAGAAGGTAACTAGTGAGCTACACAAGCTAACTAATTACAAGAGCAACTACACAAGCACAATGTATATGAAAGTAATTACAAGATTGTGTAACGACGATGCAAACCAATGGGAATACAAGGATGACACGATGATTTGTATCCTGAGGTTCACGTGCTTGTCAACACGCTAGTCCCCGTTGAGACAAGCTCCAAGGTTGTCACCGGTCCTCTTGCTAGTGGTGACCCGCAAGTCACACTCTCCCACGTGGAGTGCTTACCACAAGCTCTAGCACTTGACCCAGTCAGACCACTTGTCGCCCTTCACGTCTCGCTCTACTAGAGTTGCTCTTCGCGGCTCCCGCGGGGTGAGCACAATCACTTATCTGGAGCACCGCACAATCTTCTTTGCGGCTTTAATGGAGACCACCACCAAGCCATCTAGGAGGTGGCAACCTCCAAGAGTAACAAGCATCATCGGCTTGCAACTCGATCACCTAGTGCCACTCGATGCAACCTCACGATGCAATTGCACTAGAATCACTCACTCACTCGATCAGATGAATACTATCAAGCTAGAGTGAGTTAGAGGGCTCCCAAGCACCACCACATAAGCCATGAAGGCTCGAGTGTGCTCAGCTCTGCTCCACACCCGGCCAAAGGCCGGCCAATGCTTAGTTTTATAGCCTCCCACGAAAATAGAGTCGTTGTACCCCTTCACTGGACACAACTCGAGGAGACCGGATGCACCCTGCCAGCGTCCGATCGTGCTACGTCGTCCACGTGTCGCTCTACGTTCAACCGGAGCCGCCCGATCTCAACGGTAACTTCACGCGCCAATGGTCAAGACGACCGGACGCAGCACAATGAGGATGACCGGATGCTGCTATGCCTGAGTCCAGTCGTTTCTAGAGAGCTCCCTGAGCCTCTGTTTTACGACCGAATGCGTCCGCTCCAGCACGACCGGACACAGACCAGCGCCCAATCAGCTCTGCGCCCGCGTGCCCTCTCTAGAACACATGGCCGGACTCGCCAGCCAGCATCCAATCACTATGCTGCGCAGAGTCCGGTCACTTCCAGTGACATGTTTCGCCTCCTTTTCTTTACCGAGTTGATCCACATCAACTCCAACTTTTTCTCCTTTGCAAATGTGCCAACACCACCAAGTGTACACCACCATGTGTATATGTTTTAGCTTTTCACAAACATTTTTAAGGAGTTAGCCACTCAACTTGCCATGCCACTCGATCCTAGCAACGATGCAAAATTAGATCACTTGAGTGGCACTAGATGACCGATATGCAAACAAGTTTGCCCCTCTTGATAGTACGGCCATCTATCCTAAACCCGGTCATCAACTTCTCTACACACCTATGACCGGTGAAATGAAATGCCCTAGGTTATACCTTTGCCTTGCGCATTCCATTCCATCTCCTCCAATGTCGATGCAATACATGCACCAACACAATCAACAATGATATGATCCACTTCATATCATCATGTGATCATATTGGTTCATCGATCTTGACTTCACTTGCTCTTCACCGTTGCCTCAGTCCATCGACACCAAGTCATCACTCAACTTGCCCTTCACACTTGCAACCGGTCTGTCGAGCCAAGTCGTGTCTTGATCTTCTCCACCTTGATCACATGACTCAATATCATGTCTCATGTGCAATCAACTCCTTTATCATCACATGTGTGAACTTTGCAACATCTCCAAGCCATTTCCACCTCCATGGCATATGTTGCTCACACACATGTACCTGTGGACTAATCATATGTGTATCTCACATAAACACAATTAGTCCACCTAGGGTTGTCACTCAATTATCAAAACCAAACAAGGACCTTTAAATAGGGTGTCTTCTGTCGCCTGTAGAGCAAGCGACCGGGGAACAACGACAAACTGTAGCAACGGCATCCTAGCCTGTTTCCTAGGCGACGCGGGAGGCGCCTGCACACAATGGAGGAGGGAAGACGAAACACCACGCTGGCACTCCGACGAGTCAGGCGGCGGGTTCCCCTCCCCGATCGCCTCCACGCTAGCCCCATTGTCCACACATACGCCACAGAGCCTTGCTGCGACGGAGCATATGACGCCCTGCCCGCTGACTCATCAACCATAGGCTCAGGTGTTGGGGGATCGTAGACCGGCAGGATGGATGGTTCCCTCCTGGTGGAAGCCAAACATGCGGACACCGTATCCACCGACGAAGCACCGCGACTATGGGAGGAACGGCGCCGCAGAGCTCCCCGACCAAGGTCGGATGCCTGCACAGGAGAATGGCCGTGCTTGCCCTTAGGGAGACCCAACATAGGTGGCAGTGGGCAGTCCCGCTCATGGTGGCCCTCGCGCTCGTAGTTGAAGCACCGCGATGGAAACATGCACGCATCCCTAACATGATTGGTGGCGAGGCAGTTGAAACATTTACCATTCAGCGCAGTAGACACCGGACGGTGGGAGGTGTGACACGCCGCCAGCGTATATGGCTCTGGACCTTGCGGAACTCGTCCGCGTCGGGCTCGACGGACATGCGCATCGGGTGCACGACGATTGAGACGAGCCTACGCGGCGGCGACATGGCCCGAGCCACGTCGCGCCAGGCATCAGCCATGAAGCTCCCACGTCGAGCTGGATGCCGGCGACGACGACGCTGCCACCGCGGATGCGGCGCATCCTTCCCTCGCCTAGCCATCGGGGGCTCATCTTCCTCCTCGGAAGAGGCCTTGGAGACGGTGAAGTGGAGCCTTTCCCTGGATCCCCCCGGAGAAGCGACGAAGGGCTCCGCATTGGGGTCCAGGGAGCTCGTGTGGAGGACAAAGCTGGCGTGAGCTGAAGTAGCCAACGGAGGCGGGTGCTGAAGAGTAGATCTGCCCGTACTCCGCGCGGCCTCCTCATCCTCGACCTCAACCACCCACGAGCGGCGGGAGCAAGAGCCGGGCTCCATGGTGGTGGTGGCCGATAGTGGCGCAGAGGTGTAGAGGGAGGCACGGACATGACAGCGAGGCGACGGCACCGGCAGTAACTGTGTCGTGGCACGGGGCCGATCGGTGGTGCGGCAGCGCGGCGAGACAGGCTGCAGCGTCGCCCGGCCGTGTGAGCAGCTACGGCGGCTCCACGCAGCAGAGCAAGTGGCGGCTAGGCCAGTGTAGTCGCAGCCGAACACGCGCAGCAGCGCACATGCGCGCGCAAAGAGAGCAGTCGTGGCGACGTCGCGCCCCCGAGACGTGGTGACCACGCTCACCCGGTGAACTAGCCCAAAATCACGTCTTGCACGAATTTTAAAGCGCCTATAAAAACTAAACTGTTGCTCTCGAACCTAAACCATCTTTGCCATGCTCCAGAGGGGATATGAGGCTACCAACCCGAGCTAAAACACGACACCACCTCCTAACTCAATTTTACAAAACAAATCGCCAAATATTGCATTGTCTAGCTGTCAACATACTTAAAAATATTCCAAATTTTTGAGCTGAACTTGATTCCAAATTCTATTTCTAGACTATTAGAAATGTTGGCTGGCACTGTTATTTTTCCACGGCAAGTATTCATTATCATCTATAAAGTTTATATTCCAAACTTTATTTAGCGCCACATATATGTTCTATGGCATTTTTGTTCAATAAAAAATAGTTTTAAACCCTAATTAATACATATGAGTTATGTAATAGTTTATCATTTAATATTTTTATTGATCATCTGAAGTAACAAAAATGTTATCTATACATTCCATCACATATATAATCACATAAACATGATGCTCATGACATGATTTAGTAGTTTATTTAGAGCGTACCACCCCGAGGATGTTACCAGGCGTCGCCCTGTCTCCTAGTCACAGTCGTCCCTGCTGCAGGCCTCTGCGTGGTGGCATGACTCTTCTCCTGCTGCGCGTGATGCATCCTCCTTCGGTCTGGCCTCAACCGTGTTGAGGGAGAGCACAACCAGGCAGGCCGGCATGTCGTTCCTACCCGGTGCCAGTGGGTCGTGCTGGGCTGGGCGATTTGAATGGCCATCTATACAAGCGGGGGCGGATCTATAGGGGGGCTCCAGCCCCCCTACAGCTGGTGCATCAATGGAAATATGGGGAGGGTGAGGGAGAAGAAGAGGTGGAGAAAAGAAGAAAAATAGAGAAAGAGAGGAAGAAGAAGAGACCGACCCCCTTTCAATCCAGTTCTGCATCCGCCACTGTATACAAGTTCTGTTTGATTTTACTTCTCCTGATACCAGTGTGATACATGAGATGGTGATGACTATTCTACTTGTAAGAGAATTGGATACATTATTAGTACTCCTTAATTTCTAAACTATAAGATATTTTGACTTTTCTAGATATTTTGACTTTTCTAGATATATTGATTTTACTATGTATCTAGACACATGTGTATATCTAGATACGTAAGTACTACTTATAAGTACATATGAGCATTTAGGAGGCCGGGCCGGGTTAGGCCGGGCCCAAAAAGTCCCATCCATGACCGTCCAACTAGGCAAGTCACGCCTAATTTTTTGGGCTGAGCCCGGGCTTGGGCGGGCCGCCCACGCGTTTTACATTGTAAGATAGCTAAAATAGTATTTCGGGCTGGGTTCGGGCCAAGAAATTTTTTCCGAACAGCAGGATCTGTCGTGGGCCGGACCCGCGGGCCGGGCTCATTTTGCTTAGGTCTACTTATAAGTAACCTGGAGATCCTTTAGCTTGGATGATAGCCGTTGTGCTTCTATTGCTCCTGCCCCTTTATTTATTTATTTAAAAAAATCATGCCTCTACATATATATTTGTTTTTATTATGAATTTGTCCGGAATTACTCTTTTGGCTTATCTTATGTTCAAACCTGTCGCCTGTCTCCGCATTAGGTGATTTTAGTGATCTGAACCACACGTATATTATGCATTCCTCTTATATTAACAAATGCTTTGTCTTGGCCCTCGCCCTCTCCTTTCCGCCGCTATATAAAGTATCACGCAGCTTTTGCCTTATCTGGCCGTATTTTAGCGGCATTAAGGAACGGATTTTAATAATGAGCTTCTTTAAACAAGAACGAAAGAACGCACCATCGCCCCGTCCCATCTTTTTACTATTCAAATCGCATAAATACGATACCTGAAAGTTAAAAACGTCACTCTTTTAAGACGGATGTAGTAGGTTCATAAAATCCCGTTGCAACCAAATGGGCCTAAGTTTACAAAAAAAAAAAATCATTAGTATTATGCTAATAAAAATATATAATATGGTTATCTAATGTATTCGCTGCCACGAATGTAAGTATATTTTTAGACATGGTTAAGCTTTAACTCATTTGACTTCTCTCCACCTTCGTCTAAAAAAAGATATAATTCTATATCTAGAATAAGTCAAACTTTCTTAAGTTCACTAAAAGTATTATTAAACATTTGTTCCTCCAAATAGATATGCTAATAAAACTACATTGTACGATTATTAAATGATACTTAAAGAAATAACAAATGTAAATATCTTTTTTATAGATTTGGTTAAACTTTTAGCTTGACTTCTGGATAAGCAGAAATTGCATCTAGTTTCAAATTATAAGCTTTTGTACTAAGCTCGTCGTCAAAGCTACTCGTAGGCTGGAGTGCGCGGGCACAGCGCACAGGAGTATTCATGAACAAGTGGTCAAAGCGGTGGCGAAGTACTAGCCTGGAAATTGGAATCCTTCTGGATGATGGCCTCATCTAGGGTGACTGGATGAGGATCGAGCAAGGCACAGCCGCATAGCGTGAGTGCGTGACAGCCTCGGCATACATGTCTCTGCTCGCTTCTCTTATAATTCGTTTTTTTGTTTGTTATTTTAGCTAGAACAGTGTTTTTTTCTTGTAATAAATTAGTCGGAACAGTATTTTTATTTATTTTTTCAGCGAAGCGAACGGCCACAATGGTACAGGCATCAGGGCATCGCTGCATCAGACGCAGGATATGATGGGTTGCGTCGTCTCCTCAAGTCGGTCATGACAACTGAACGATGCATCGTCGCAGCGCTTTTTTGGTTTGAGAGCCACTAGAATTACTCCATGAAATATAGTAATAAATAAGAAGTTGTTTTATTTTTGTTTTCAAAATAAATTAGAAATAGTACTTTTAAAATATAAATAAAAAATTAATAAAACCATTATTATTTTTACTTCACAAGCTGTATGGAAAAGAGCCAAAACTATTTTGAGTCATCTCTACCTTTCGAATCCAGAGTCCAAGCTCCGGCACCGCATAGCGCCACGTCGCCTGTTAGTCCGATAGCCAATGGATCTAGCGCGAGGAAGCGATGTGCGCCGTCTGATTGCGGGTCGGCTCGAGTATTGACCCAAAAACATCACGAAAGTTCTCGTCCTCTCGTGCGCTGGCCCGCTGTGCGACGGAGATAAGCGCCCATCCCCGTCCCGCCCCCAAATCTCAGTCGTCGTCCCTCTGCTCGCTCGACGCATCGTCATGCCTGTACCCGATTCTGCCAGCCGCTGAAGCACTGCCCGCTGGTCGTAGGTGCCCAGACCTCGCTGCCGGCCATTGGCGTAGGAGTCCCACCAGCAACACCGACCTGGGCAGAGGCTCGCTCAGGCGTCGGACCTCGTGTGGTGGTGGCGGCAAACATGAGTTCAGTGTCGGTATCAGCGTTCAATCCGATTTCGGCTTCGAGCTCGACATGGACGACGACGCCCACCATGCGTTTGATGAAATACTAACATGAGGGTGCGGCGGAGCGGTGGTGTGGCACGCCTCGGTTCCGGGCCACCAGCAATGTTGCTCCCGTGGTGTTGAGGCTCCTCGACCACTACGAATAGGATGGGTTCGCCATGTCCAGGTCCAGCCCACCGGGCTCAAGGCTTCTTGTGTGTTTTGATGTAAGCTAGATAGCAAGCCCTAAGCCTGAGCCAAGACCGAATTTTTTACTTTTTAGCCCTTTTTTCGAAAGTTTCTCATAAATAGACCCCTGGCGGAAAAAATTCAAAAAATGGACCCTAGCTCGGCGCCACCGATGCTGGCGCCGAGCTCGGCGCCAGCGTCCTTGGCGCCGAGCCCCTGGGCTAGGGCAAACTTACATGGAAGGAAGCTCGGCGCCAGTCACTCTGGCGCCGAGCTCGGCGCCGTTGACGATGGCGCCAAGCATACAGTACGACGTGCGTGAATAGCAAAGTACGACGTGCGTGATTTTACAGCAAAGGTCAGAGGGCCAGATTACGCCAGAGGGGGAGGAAGGAAAGAAGAATCCGCTGGATCAGGGACATGCAATCGGGCGGGCAGGGCCAAGCCTTGTCGTCCGTGTGTGTCGTCCCAGCACGGGTAGGGTGAATACCGCACCATCCAGTCGATGGATCGATTGATCGCGAAAGCGTATGTGAAATTTTTGTATTTTGGTCCCTTTTGAAAACATTTTAACCTAGCCTGTTGCGGGTGCCAGGAGACCATTCAGAGCGGTAGAGACGATGCTACCGGAGGTAGTGCATGCCCGCTGCCTAGTCTGTTGCGGCAAGCCAAGGTAACGTCTCGGCGCCATAGGTCATGGCGCCGACCACTAAAATTTTATATATCCATCTCACGGTAAAACTAGGGTGTTAGCCAAAATTTTATATATCCATTTTGGCATGCTCGGCGCCATCGTCAACGGCGCCGAGCTCGGCGCCAGCATCTACGGCACCGAGCTCGGCGCCAGCATCTACGGCGCCGAGCTCGGCGCCAGAGTGACTGGCGCCGAGCTTTCTTCCAGGTAAGTTTGCCCTAGCCCAGGGGCTCGGCGCCAGGGACGCTGGCGCCGAGCTCGGCGCCAGCATCGGTGGCGCCGAGCTAGGGTCCATTTTTTGAATTCTTTCCGCCAGGGGTTTATTTGTGAGAAACTTTCGAAAAAAGGGCTAAAAAGTAAAAAAATCGGGAGCCAAGACCATGGCCCCGTTTGGATTCCTTCAAATTGTGGAAGCTGGCTTCTAGAAGTCAGGTAGGAATC